TCGATGACTCCACTCTACGCAGAGTACATAGATTGATGGTCCAACACTACGCGGGGTGCATGGATCGAACATATACAAAACTTGGTCGATGAGTTTGATTCAATAATAATAATACAATATATAATAACTTTATTACACTACCGAACTATCAGCGGGTTCAGTATGGTAAATATATAATACTCCACCTACCTCAACGCCGTTTCTTGATACTGCCGTGACTGATTCGAAATCACTGAGAAAAAATCCAGTGATATAAGTGGACATTTTTAATGTTGTCTGAAATTTCGTTGCTACCCAGCCGTCATATCTTGATGTAACCGATTCCTGAGGCATGTTGGACAATGCTGTGTATTCGTCCTTGTGTACCATGGTTATTGCAAGTGTTGCTTTTAATGCTGGCTCATCGAAGCAAGGATATGCTTTACGAGCATTAGCTGGGGAAAAGAAGGAAGCTGCCAGGACTCTGAAATATATGAAATATCTCTGACATTGTCTCAAAATTGTTTTTAATATCTTTCCCATAGCGCTTTTTCAAAAATGCCTATTCACCCCATCCCAAGTGGTAAATATAAACAAAATGTGCATATGTACGGGAAACTGTTACGTCTAAACGTATTTATTATTTGTACAGTGAGGAGTCTATATACTGCCCCGCGCTAGTTTTTAAATAAATACAATAGCAAGCTTTGTGTACCTTTTCTGTCCTTTATCATCCCTGTAAGAACTCCTGTAAATACCAACCAAGTCATCATAAAGTACGCCGCCGTATTCGATATGAACTATATATAACTGGCCACCTTCCAAGTAACTGGCTAGCGTTATGACAATATATTGCATGTCAGGATAAAGTTCAGGCTCTTTCAACAACTGAATCGTCATGGAGTCGACCTCTCGCGTTACACGGACAAGATTTTTATAAATGTCCAACATTTTACTGTGAAGTATGATGCGTGATGTTCGGTTAATGCAAGTGACTCGAATGTCGATACTGCCATTGAAACTAAACTTCTCCGAGTCTATTTTTAGCTCCAGGGTATAATGCACAGGCTCTATGTCGGTTGGAAGACGGTAATCCTCCCATGGATTGCTGGAGCTCGGGGGAGGTGACAGTGTTGATGGCGAGTATGTGCTGCCATTCAATATGTGCTCAGCTATCGCCGTACATGGCGTTGGTAAATAATACGATAGTATTCCGACGCCAGCGATCAACGTGGTCGTGGCAAAACAGGCTATTAAAATCGTTGAAGTTGTTAGAAAAATCCCGCGTCCCCGCTGACTTGCGTCTTCATCATATCCCATAATTTGCTCGTTGGGCGAGTAGTCGTTGAGCGCAAATGACGACGTCAACGGGTTTCTTCAAAACTAGTTTGTATAATCGTGGAGAATTATAGTTTTTGGGTATTGGGTATTGCAGGCACTGTTCTCTGAACGACCCGACTGAAGTGAGTGTAATCTGCACACGGTACGAATATATACGACACACCGTCGTTTATGTGACCTATTTTGACATCCCATTTAATGACAGAAAAATTATTAGCCAACACTTGTCATATCGTGACCACAAATCAAACAATGGCAAATATATATAAATCAGATATTGTGCAGGGTTTCATTTGAAAGTTGAATGTCATGAACATAGTAGAAGTGTTATCTATGACAACTATCCACTCCGTTTACACGAGACGATTCAACGCAGCGAGCA